GGGGGGGGGGGGGGGGGGTGGGAGGAGGAGGAAGAGAGACTCCGGCTGGGCTTGAAGGGGCTTCGCAAGTTGCGGAGCTCCGCCCCCGTCGCTCTTGCACCGAGTGACAATGTATTTACCGGCGTATAAGACGACCCCCCCACTTGGAGGCATGTTTTTTAGGGCAAAAAAGTCATCTTATACGCCGGCAAATACGGTACGTTGTCTGCTATTTGTATTTATTTTCTCCTGTAATTAGTTTGAAAGATTCAGGATTTCTCATAATTACAATTCAGTGTAACTTTTGTTTTCAGATTTTTTTCAGTTTTATTTTGTGTGATATTCTTTTATAGTATCGTCCTAGCATAATGGATAGATGATAAAGATTGATGTTAATAATCCAAGAACCAATATACTTTCAAGAAATTATAACTTGGCTGCCAGGTGAGTTATGAAAGTATTATTGGCTGTGGAATATGGATCAAAATTTTCCTATTAAACTCCACATTAGCATAACTGCTAAAAATATTCAAATTCTTCATTAGGCTGTTTCAGGAGTTTTATGTTGAAGCCTTTTTTGGGGGGCGGGGGAGGGGTTACTTCTCTAAAGCACAGAGGCTGAGCTTCCAAATTAACTTGGCTTGGTGCAAAGTATACCATAGCCATGTTCAGATATTTTTCTGAACTAGATGCACTGGAAATATGTTAAGGAGCATGTCATACCTGCAATATATCCTGAGGTTCAAGATCTTCCATATGCACCTGTACATTCAGTATATATGAAGATTGCTTTCCATTTTAGCAGAACTGGAAGTCATATCACACCTATGTGGGTACGTAAATACTTTCATCTGAAAATCTTAGAAATCCTACAGAAAATATTTCTATGAGTGGAAGAATCAAAATTGAACAAAATTAACCTACCCAAGATTACCTTTTTTCATTAAAATTGGTGGACATTAATTCAAAATGGAGAATGGATGTGAAAGAATTTGATTATTCAAGGTTTCCAACCGATTGCATTATCTTGCTCCTACCACAAGACAGTTCTTCCCCTTGAAATCAATGGGAAAATATAAAATTTCCCAGTTTGAGCAGAATCTTCACCTGTGAGCCACAAATTATATATTCTGCAGTACGTCTTACATGGAGAAGTAGTGGAGCAATGTTTCTTTCATCAGGCACTATAGGTTTACCCAAGTTGAGCCAAAATACTTAAAACATGGTTTGCTACATCAGACATAATGCTCTTGCTCAACATTATTTTTCAGACTAAGGCTATTCTAAAAAAATCCCTGTCATTTTTGCTACTTTAGTTGTTCCCAACTACAGATAAATTTATATCTAATGGCCTATTCTAGAACAAGATTTGAGTAGTTGGATTCCTTGGCCAAATGTGGGTGCTTCTGCTACCTGCAATAATCGTGAGAGGATGTATACAGTCAGGTTTGTATATAATATGACAATGATAGGTTTTGTGGCATTTGGCCTTTGTACATCACGACATTGAATTTGAAATGAAACACTTATGTGACAAAGTGAAGATTTTCAACTTTAATATTCAAGGTTTGACAGAAGTGTGACATTAAGAAGAATTACAGCCATTTGAATACACCACCCCCATTTTTGGTAGCTCATAAATGATAGGACAAATGGCTGACAGTTTCATGGCCAGGTGTGGCTTGTTCTCTTGTTAGTCCATGACAAATCAAGCAGATAAAGAACTGGAGTTGGTTATGAGTATTACATTTGCATTTGATATATTCACTGGAACATTCAACGTAAGATCCAAAAGGTATCTATGCAAGTGAAAAAAACCATTATTGGGTTGAAAAAACAATCCCATTAGAGAGATAGCAAAAAAAAAGGGGGGGGGAGGAATGGCCAAAACAATAGTTTAGAATGTTCTTAAAAAGAAGAAATTAACTGGTAGGTTCAGCAACACCAAAGGCTGGTAGACCACGGAAAACAACTAAAACCACAGAATTGGTGGTCAGATCATTGATAAAGAAAACCCCTTTCACAACAGCTAGCCAAATCAAGAACATTCTTGAGAAGGTAGGAGTGTCATTGTCATAGTCTACAGTTAAGAGACAGCTGCATGAATGTAAATACTAAGGCTTCACAATGAAACCACTGATAATGCTCAAGAACAGAAAGGCCAGATTAGACTTTGCCAGAAAATATCTTTAAAAAGGCTACTCAATTCTGGAATAAGATTCTTTGGACTAATGACACCATAGCAAGATTAACTTGTACCAGAATGATGGAAAGAAAAAAATATGGAGAAGGAAAGGAACAGCTCATTATCTGAAGCATAACTCATAAGTCAATTATGGTGGAGGCAGTGTTATGACATAGGTCTGGATGGCTGCCAATGGAACTGGGTCATGGTGTTTATTGATGACCTGATTGCTGATAAAAGTAGCAGGATGAATTCTGGGCTATACTCGTTTCAGTTTCAGCCAAATGCTGCAAAACTGATAGGATGTAGCTTCATATCGAGGATAGATAACAACCCAAAACATATAGAAAAAGCAATTCAAGAGTTTCTCAAGGCAAAGAATTGAGACGTTCCTCATTGGACAAGTCAGTGACCTGATCATAACCCAATAAAGTATGCTATCCACTTACTGAAGACAAGACTGAAGGCAAAAAGACCCACAAACAAGCAATGGCTGAAGGCAGCTACAGTAAAGGCATGGCAAAGCATCTCAAAGAAGACTTAGCATATCATCGTGTCTATGGGTTCCAGACTTCAGGCAGTCAATGACTGTAAATGACTTACATCCAATATACAGTCCTTATATCCACTCTTAGGCTTAGATCCCTACTTGAAAGAACAGCCCACTGGGATCTAAATTGCATAGTCCTACATCCTTCTGGGCAAATGTATAACTGTGAGCAGAATTGCTAAATTTATAGTTAAGGAAGATGAGCAAAGAACCTGTTAATTTTGAGCAGATTGGGGTATTCTGTAAATGCAATGTATTTATCTGAATGTTGATTCTTTACCACATACATATTTTAATATGTATTTTCTTTTATCTGCTTTAGACCCTATATTTTTATATGGAATAAATCATCTATCATATTTAACAGTAAATAATCATTTCTGAAAGCCAAAATATTCCAGGGAATCCTCTCAAATTTTGCAAATAGAACCCGATTTTTTTGGATTATGGTAAAAAGTTACTTAAGGAAACTACCATAATATATGCAAATTAATCCATAAGTTGTTTTTTAGTGAACCAACTGCAACGTCTATTATTTATTAATGTGTGTTCCTTTTTCTTCTCCCTATTCAGTGGTAAGCACAATTTGGTGGCCCAGTACAAAGTACTGTACTAATTTGTTTTGTTTATAAAGCATTGAGAAAAACAATCTCCTTAATACTGTCTTGAACAAAAGCCTAATTGTAAACAATTTTCAACTTAACAGTAAGAAAGCCACAATGAAGCTGTTGTACAAATATTTTGTTTCAATAGATTGCTCTGGACCAAACCAAACGTGTACTGCTGCATGAATAACAGAATAAATTTTTAGGTCTACTGGCTGCTGTAGAACTCTGAGTATGCTTTTTAGATAAACCAATTTGTGTAATAACCCACTGACAAGGGGAGGAGGACTGCAAGGCACACCTACCTGTTTGCCTTCCTGAGCAACAGAATGATTCAGTAATTGCTTCAAAATCACGCTCAATGAGCTTTTTCCTGCATTGTATGACTTGCTAATAATAATTGTAAGATAGACTTTCCCTTAATTTTAGATACAACATCTGAATAGCAATGACTTTTTAAAAACACTGGCAGGGATCCACATTTTTCATCCCATTCAATAGAAGGAGTTTCTACTTCAACTATAATTTTAAATTTAAGACTATGGAAAATCAAGTTGAGCTTCCTGAGTACATTCTTCTTCATAAAGGAAAAACAAAGTCTAATTAATGGTTTCAGAGGTTAATTAGTTCCCTTTTATCAGAGCAGCCTTCTTCCTCTTCTCTCCCTTTATTTCAAAAATAGCAAATACCCTTGAAGAAATGTGGATAGTGGCACTTTGGAGTTTCTGCTGAAAACTGAATAAATCTGGAGAATTGTCTGTATGATCTTCAAGATGACCTTCTGACTCCTTTACCTCCTCTTCCTTGATTAGCAGAGGTTTCCCTACGGAGTGTCCAAACAATTGACAAACTTCTTGAGCTTTTTGCTGAGCACTTCTAACAGCAGAAACGCATACCTGCCTCCTGAAAAGAAAGAGCAGCAAGACTTAGTTAATCGGTTCTTATTTAAATTGCAGTTTTATGCTTGTCAAACTCAGAATTTGATGACATTTCTTTTTAGGTAAAGTGAAGCCTCAGGATACATAATAACTCACTTCAGTATCACATAACTGCACATCTAGGTACATAATTACACACACTTCCACATAATTACAAGTTTTCCCTTAATAGTATATGTTTAAAGATCTGTTCTTTTCTGAAAGAAAGCTGAAGTAATTTTTAAGAACTAAACTTGCCTTTTTCTTATTTATTCCCTTTTCTTTGTAAACTATGATAGCATTCAGCTATTAGTCTTATATACAGTGCTCACGGTGCTTTACAGCCCTCTCTAAGTGGTTTAGAGTCAGCCTATTGCCTCCAACAATTTGGGTCCTCATTTTACCGATCTCAGAAAAATGGAAGGCTGAGTCAACCTTGAGCCTGGTGGGATTCGAACTGCCAAATTGCAGTCAGCTGGCAGTCAGCAGAAGTAGCATGCAGTAACTGCATTCTAACCATGTGCTATCACGACTCAGTGATAATTGTATAGTTGGGGGCAAGTCTGCTTTACCACTGTTCTGTACACACAATCCTGGAAATATGAAGAGCAAATTAAAAATACTTCAAATATATACAACCCCATTTAAAAAAAAAATATTGGTTTATTCTGATTGCTTCCCTAATTTAGGTACATGCTACAATACTAGAAAGCATTCTAGAGATTAGATTGGTGACTTGGGCCACTCACTTTTTTTCAGCCCAACCCACTTCACAGGTTTCTTCTTGTGGGGAAAATAGGAGACAACATTATCCAACTTCAGTAGTACAAAAAATAAAAATGGGTTATAATGAAAAGAATGACAATAGTAATAAAAATAACCTTATTTGTTTCAATATTGCTTTTTTAATATTATTCTCTTTCTTAAATTAAGGAGGAAGGTTGGGGAGATGAAAAATGTGTCCAACTTGTCTTAATCTAATTCAGTATTTCATTCTGACATTCTGCAGTATTTCCCAACCTCTCCTGCCTCCAAGACTTGATAGGAAAGAAATACACATTACAGTAGTAACCTCCCATAGTAACTCCAGTCTTTTTATTAGTAACATAGTAGTGATTGCATTCCTCTTGCAGCTATGTGGAAATGCTGGTAGGAACCAGATGATCAGTTTTAGGTCTGACAACCCTGGCCCTAGCTATTAAAGCTGCAATCTCTATATATGGCACTGTCAGTTCTCTTCAAGTTGAGCAAGAAAATAATATTTTACTTGTGTTGCTTGGAACACACATTCACAGTGAAATAAGCAAGCCAGAAATATACATCTTTTTGAGAAATGTATTGAGAAACTTACCGAAGGGTATCTACAGCCTCCATCGTGTGGTAAAAGTGAGGTGAGCTGATGATAACAGATTTATCTAGTTTCTCAACAAGGTGATTACATGTATCTTGCATTTTCCCAAAATCAGTAAATATAATGCAGACCTGTAAGTGAATATAAAAATATAAAAGCCTTTTTTCAATGGTTTAACTGCAAGATGACCAAAACAAAAGATAGCAGGATATATGGATCTTTTCTAGCCTCTCACTTTTTTATTTACTTTCTCACACTGTTTACTATTATAAAGCTGGCTCAAAATCTGCAAAATAAACCAAGTATAGTGAATTAAAAATCAATTACTGGCTAGGGTATTTTCTGAAAAGATACAACTGATGCAACTAGTTAGTATTCCAATCTTGGAGCATTGGAAAGCAATGTTATATATATAAATATTAAAGGTTGGGCTTTAATTAATAGGGCTGCTAAGTGTAGTCAAGTAAACACATAGCTTATTTTTCTTTTAATCATATTAAACAAAATACTAAAAATGGATAAACTTATAAAATGATTTTATACTACAGTGCTGTGGGGTGACCCTGACCAAACACTAACTTTTAACACTAAAAGTTCAGGTCAGTGAGAACTATGCAAGCGGTTGAAAATTGTGAATATTAAAAATAGAGAAATACTTCAACAACTTAAGTGATGAAGAGAAAAATATTTTTCAATAAGATTTATTTTTAAAATTATTTTTTTCTGAACATCATTTAAGGTGTTGAAATACTTTCAAAATACCCTATTTTAAACCATTTGCTAGTATTTACTACTATTAGATTAGGACCATAGTAATCTACAGAGAGAGATTTTCATTAGATAAGCCATAATTTAAATATGCACTTTCAAATATGAATCTATGCTACAGTTTAGCAACACATCTCTTCAATACTCACTTCATTTTACTATTTGAAAAAACTACCCATTTTTAATATATCAAAATACTAGATATGTAGAAGAGACATTTGTCCTAAGATACCACAGCAATTAATGACATATTTCAGAATATTTCCATTAAGTTTCCCATTAAAATTCTAAATTAGCTTTAACATGATACAATGCTAAATGAAAAAGCAAATGAGTGAATTTAATAAAATTAACAATTCAACAATATTAACAATAGAGAGTTTTAAAAGTTTTATCAAATCAAAACAAACATATTTGAGACTAATGGTGCTTTTATTTAAGATACTTGCCTCAGCTTCCATCTTATACGCATTCTCTATTCTACTGAAGTTTTTTGTCACAGTCACATCATTTTCCTTGGGGAAGAAAAATGATAATTTTAAGTCCACTACTTAAAATCAATGTCCTTTTAGGCACACTAAAAAACAGAATACGGCAATGTATTTCAAAACAGTAAAAGTGAGTTGGAGCTGGGCAGACTCACTAAAATTAACAAAGTTATATTAATAAGGATCAAGTCCAGACCCAAACTTAACACCCTTTCTTAAGCAATGTTTTAACCCATACTTTACCATGAAAACATTTAACCATTTATTTGAATCAAAAGTTTAAAAAGTGCTTCAAAGTAGAAGGGTAAACCTTTTTGCAATTTTTTAAAGCAGTTGTGCCGCTTCCTGGAATCATGTAAAAAATATTTTTGCCTTGAAATTCAAAGGGCTGAACAATCCTAATAAGCATGACCGAGTGAACAATTTCCAAAAATACTTAATAAATTATGCTTTGAAAGACTTGCAACATCAAGAATATCCTAAATTCTGTAAGCCAGCTTGAGTCGCCATGAGCGAATGGGCAGCAAATATAAATTTAATAAATAAATAAATTACCTGGTACCTGCCATGCATAGGACAGTAAGTGTTACTCATAGCATAACAAACCATTCAAAAGAAACAAAATTATTCTCAAAGATTTTTTTGAACTATATTAAGAACTGTGATTGATGTAAACTAAAATAAAAATACTGGCTAGCATCAATTGGCTGACTTTAGGATATCACCTTATCAGCCCTAGAACGAAGGCAATGTAAAAGCACCTCTGAAAATGTTGCCTAAAAATTGCATGAATTTGACGATGAAGTGACCAAGAGTTCTGATTTACTTGAAGGCCACATATATTTTCTATTTTACTTGTGTGCTTTTTCCTTCAAAATTGTTTCCATAAACAGTGTTATATCTTATTTCTAGGTTAGATGAAGTATCATAATTATTACTAATCCAAAGGAACTCAGTAAGTTTCATAGCTGAGTGAGGTCTGAAACAGGTTGGAATTACACCCATTATGAACTCAGGAAAAATTATGACTTTTAGATCAGTATATAACTCTGTTGCTAGTTGCCCAATGACACTCCTTCATGATGGCTAAGTAATATATATGATTATAGGAAATAACCCCTCCTTTGGGACGGTGGATTGGGAAAGCATGACACAATGGTGGAGTGGAAAGTCTTTAGTTAGGAAGGCATGAACCACAGCTCTGTATCTGATCTGGCAGGATAAATAAGGAAGGTATATTACCACTGATAGATGGCCTTCAAGCAAGAGCACCCTAATGATAAAGGTACTGGACGACTAAATGTCTATGGGGATTCTTAGTCATCCAAGTCATGGTTGTCCCCCCCAAAGTGCTTTGTCAATTGGACTTTCTGGTTTTTTTCTTTGAAGATGTTTCTCTTCTCATCCAAGAAGCTTCTTCAGCTCTGAAGAACAGCTGAAGAAGCTTCTTGGATGAGAAGCGAAACATCTTCAAAGAAAAACCAAAAAGTCCAGTTTTCTCTTGAAAAAGCACCTTTGGTATTGAAATGACTAGCAAGCAAGAAGATTCACTTTCTAGTCCCTGGTGATTCTGAGCCAATGAACCTCCCTAAACTCAATCTACTTCACAGCCTTGCTTGCTGCAGTTAAAAACTGTATGCTACATAAGCTGCCATGGGCTCCTGACTGACAAGTGAGATTAAAATCAAAATAAGTTGAGATCAACTACTAGCAGCTGCAGCTACACGGCATTATAAAAACAATTTACGACCGCCTACCTCTGGAATGGATTGGGGACTATCCAGATCAGAGGTCTCCAACCTTGACAACTTTAAGACTTGAAGTCCACAAGTCTTAAAGTTGCCAAGGTTGGAGACCCCTGATCCAGATGATCCCTTTATCCAAGTATTTCTATGCGTACAGCACACTGAGCCACCCATGAGAAGAAAGCGTATTTTAGCCGAATTCAGCCAGTAGGCAAAACGGCTCAGCGTTTCCCCACGCTAGATGTCTATGGAGATTCTCAGTCATCCAGGTGATGTTTGTCCCCAAAGTGTTTTTTTTTCCCCAAGAGGTAGCTGGACTTTGTTTTTCCTTGAAGACATTTCGCTTCTCATCCAAGAAGCTTCTTCAGCTCTTCAAATGAGAAGCGAAACTTCTCTCTTCTTGGATGAGAAGCGAAACATCTTCAAAGAAAAACCAGAAAAGTCCAGTTGCCCCTTGAAAAAAAATAAAACACCTCTGGGTTTTCCATGCTAGCTAGACTAAAACCAGGTGGGCATGAAGCACAGGGGATGGTTTTTGGTGGACGGCGGCACCAAAATTCTCCGAAAGCTACTTAACCGGGCTCCCTAGCTAAGACGCGGCTCCTCTGCTGGGAACGGTGGGATTAAATCAGGGGTCCCCAAACTTCGCAACTTTAAGACTTGTGGACTTAAGACCCAAAGAATTGAGCACGCTGGCAAAGGGCGGGAGACCTACTGCGGCTGCGCGCACGCGGGGGGGAGGGGCCCTTTTTATTCTCACCCACCGAGATGCCGCCGCGCTGCCGAACCGTCTGGGTGACGTAATCAAGTCTGCGAGTGACGCTGCCGCGCGCTGCGCCGGCTTCTCCTTTCCTGCTTCTCAAATAAACCGTGACTTTGGCCCGATCTGGTCCGGCGCTGAGTTCTGCGCTGCCGTTCACGTGAACTTCCCTCCCAAACGGCCCTCCTTCGGCGGCTCTGGGCGGCTCATCGTCTTTGGGCGAGGATACCAACTCAGCGAACACCCGCGCCGGAGAGACCGCCGTTGGCGGCAACGGCATTTGGCTGGGAAAGGAAAGGGGCCCTTAGGAGATCCTAGCAACGGAGGCGACACCGCGAGCCCTCGCGCCCAAGGCGTGATGGTCCTTGTAGTTCTGACGAGGAAAATCGCGTGGAGGCCGCAGCGCCGCCCCGAACTGAAGAGGGGCGGGATCTGCAGCGTCTTCTATCATTCGCATAGTGTTAAGTTGGATGCCGTCTGGCTCTTGTGGCGGGATGACCCTAGCAGTTTCTAAACCGTGATTTATGACCTAGCAGAATAGAATGGAATGGAATGGAATGGAACAGAACAGAACAGAGAATAGAATAGAATAGAATAGAATAGAATAGAATAGAATAGAATAGAATAGAATAGAATAGAATACTTTATTGACCAAGTGTGATTGGACACACAAGGAATTTGTCTTGGTGTAAATACTCTCAGTATACATAAATGGAATTCCTAGTGATGTCGTCAGAAAAAGGGAGTTTATTCGACAAAACATTGAGAATAATGATTTGTTCAATAAAACAGTTTATTCAATAAACCCATCAGGTATAGGATGAGGATTGCAACCAGAAATGGCCATAAAAACTATGCTCTGTGTTATGTTGATGTTCATTGTAATACAGCTAGCCTATGATTTATGAATGTAATTGACTCCAGAATTACAGTCGATCATGGTGTTCACTCAGTGGGTTACGGGACCCCACCTGATATTTATGAATCTAAAAAAAATAATTTACAAGCATGAATAAACTGAAATTGCTTGGACTTCATTCATTTATTCATTCATTTCGTATATCTGCCCACCTACAAACCAGTTGTTGGTATGCATCATGTTTATGCGTCGCTAATTAACATTTGGGTGATAGAGCTATGTTCCTGCATCTGAACTGCAAAATAATAATAAATGTGTAAACATGAAAAGCATTCAAGTCTTCTGAAACAGAATGGAACTTTGAAGTCAATCTAAGGGTTTGTGTCTATATCTGTGTTTGTGCTGCAGTCTTATTAGGCTGTTAGGGCATTAAAAGCTAAACTAAATGAGCCACTAGGGTGAATCTCCATGCAACCGCTATCTTGGCTGCTTCTGGAGTGACAGAATTATAAAGCTGGGAGAGGCTGTGGAATCCAACTCCTTCTTAGTGCAATGAGATGTGCTGTGTCTGAACACCTCTAGTGAAAAGGAAACCTTAACCTCTGGGGAATTGATTGCACCATGAACTGCTCTTGACACCACATACCAAGAGACTACAGTATATCATTATACAGAATTTGAAGGTATAAAGGGCTTCAAATGTTAAAATATTCTGCTATTATACAGGTATTTACTGAAAGGGGTTAAAAAAGACTACTTAGAAATAATGTTTACGTCTATTACAAAGGGTTGTCAGACTGCGTAGCATAGCAGACCTAAGGAAAGTTTGCATTCAATGCCAAAGTTAAATTGTGTTCAGTTGGTCTATGTACCAAGATGCTCAGCCTTTATTTTCTCAATCTTCTGAGCTACTCTGAAGATCACCTGGAACAGGAAGATGTGACATTGAATGAATGGATGGGGATTGTACAAGCTAGCCATAGATAGAAGTACTGAGTTATTCCTTCTTGGATTATGCAGTTAGCCAGTATTTGCCTTCTGCACATCTTTTAATTTAAAATCAGTCCAAAATAAACCAGTTCACATCCAAGAATTGGGAAAGATTGTTTCCATATATTAAGAATTCATACCCCTCAATAGGTGAGAATTGAGCTGACACATTAAGGATCTTAATTGGAAAATTGCAGTGCATCAACATTGGCACAGAAAGCATTTTATAGGACTTTCAGCCATCATCACAACCACAGAGCTGTTTCGGTATGTTGGCAGAGCGGTACATTTTGGTGGACATGTATATGACTTAGTGAATAAGGAGCCCGAAAATCCAGAATTGGAGACACTAGATTTTATTGCATTTATTCACTAAACCCATTTGCATACAACTGCAATCAAAAGCAACTCTTGGCAACTCACATTTTGTACTACTGTCAGCAGGACTATAGATGTGGTTTGCACAGCAAATGTTTTTTTTTAAAGGTCAAGATACCCTCAAATCATGCTTGACATTTGTTTAACACATTCTTTTCTTGGCAGTGTTAGAGATGCTTTTCAATTGTCTTCTCCAAGATTGCTTTCCTCCCTTCCCATTCTAGCCAACACCTTTGATTCCCCAGGCAGTTCCCCATCCAAATCTCCCAGTTTTGCCAAAGTCAGCTAGGTGTTGACCTTTGCCCATTTAGCATGTTAAAAACCTGCAATAATCAGGGCTGGACAGTATCCACAATTACCACAGGAAGTACTGTACACTGTTACATTCATTCTTGGAGAAAATGTTTAGTGCCCTCATTCACATTTATTCGAAAATAATACAGAGGCCATTTGTATCCATATTTATTCACAAGGAAAACTGAGTGCTTAGCCCTAGGAAAACTGGCACAGAATTGGCTCTTTCTACTGCAATGCCTGTTACTATGGTACTGAGGCTTTGTGCCATCACAGCAGAAGGTTGTTAGGCTCTTGTATAATAGTGAGTGTCCAGCAATGCCACTGATGCTTAATTGAGCTTCCTGAGTGGATCTCAAATCAACTATGTACTGTATTCTGACTTTTCTGTGATTTTCAAAGCCGTCAGTCTTGAAATACAGTGCATTTTACTGAACGGGAGTGTGGGAGCTTCCATCAACTCAGGAAAATGCATTGTGTTTTTCTAGTCTACTTCTAGAGCCCAAATAACCCCTGGCTAGCCTAAGCTTACAAAAACTGCAAATAACACCACTTGGATGTCTCAAAATGAGAATCAGATCAAGCATTTCAGCACAACAGACCAGTGAACCTGTGACTGCAAATGGCAACAGTACAGCTGATAGCAGTGTTCCAATATTTGAGGGGCTGCCATAGAGAGGAGTGAGTCAAGTTATTTTCTAAAGCACCTGAAGGCCAGACAAGGAATAATGGATGGAAACTGATCAAGGAGAGATACAACCTAGAAATAAGAAGAAATTTTCCAACAGTGAGAACAATCAACCAATGGAACAGCTTGCCTTCAGAAGTTGTGGGAACTTCATCACTGGGAGCTTTCCAGAAGTGACTGGACTGCCATCCGTCAGAAATGGTGTAGGGTCTCCTGCTTGGGTGGTGGGGGTTGGACTAGAAGACCTACAAGGTCCCTTCCAACTCTGTTAATCTGTTAATGATTTCCACACATAAATTGTAATCTCTTAGAGAAGAAGGCAAGCCCATCCCAAATATCTGATCCTACCCACTTGTTTGGAATCTTTTGACTTTCCACCAACACAACCTTAGTTTCCTCTGATTATGGTTCAGTTGATCAGCCATCATCCTATCTTTTATGAACCCCAAGCCTATTTGACTGGAATCCACTGACAGGAAATGATTCTGAAATGGGGCTTTGGGATCCTCTTAAAGTGGACTGAAAAGGGCAACAGGATTGCTGCTGCTAGTTATAAAATTGACAAGAGCAGTCTCCAGATGCCTCATAGGAATCTGATGACATGGACTCAAGCACAGCAAGAGTATTGATGCCTTTGAACTTTGGTGTTGGAGAAAACTCCGGAGAATACAGTGTGTTACAGCCAAGAAAACAAACTGATGGGTCATTGAATAAATGAAGCCAGAGTTCCTAGCCGAGGCACAAATGACCAGGTTGATCTTATTCTACCTCAGATACATCATACAAAGTCCTGATAGCTCTCTAGAAAGGGCTCTAATGCTGGGAAAGATGGAGGAAAAAAGAAGAGGATGATTAAAAGCAAGGTGGATGGATTCAATTACAGTAGCAATGTGTGTAACATTGAGAAACTTCAACAAGTTAAGAGATAGATCACTATGGAGAAAATCTATCTATGTGATGACTAAGAATTGAAAACAACTTGATGATTATAATCAATCACTCAATTTTTACTATTTTGACTACATTAATGAGAGTTTCAAAGAATCATGACAATAATTTGATACTACCCTTTTCAAGTTCAAATCTTTGGCCCAGCTCCTCAAAACTATTTCACTGACTCTCCATATCTCTTCGACTTAAAAAAAAAACTCCAAAACTCTTAGTAGTCATTTTGCTGTTTCCCCTTTTTGTGGCTTCAGCAACTACTTGTAACAATAGCTAAATCCTCCTGACAAATTGCCCTGTTGCACTTGAGTCTGCTTTAACTCCACTTACTTAACCCAATCATTTATTTAAATGTGGCAGCCACTGATAGTTTTATAATTGTTGACACTGGAATCTTTTGAGATTTAGGGGAGGGAGCTTTCTTGATCATGTGGAAGAATTATCTCCTGATTCACTCCATGCGCCTTCTCCATTGTTGCCTGCCAGCCAGCTACTTTTATTTTTATTTATAAACACATAGATTTAATGATTTTTTTTTCAAAAGGGCATTAGAATTGTGCTAAAAATTAGGTGTGGAGCTAAACTTGACCAACTCAAAACATGGTTGAATGCACTATCTGGGCACTTGGATAAATTATCTCAATTTTATCATATGCTCAGTGGAGGGTCGGGGGAAGAAGAGATAAAGCAAACAGATCTACACATTATTTCTATAACTTATCCTGCATTTAAACCAGGGGTGGGATTCAAAATTTTTAACAACCGGTTCTGTGGGCATGGCTTAGGTGATGGGCATAGCTTGGTGATCATGTGACTGGGTGAACATGGCTTGGTGGTCATGTTATTGGCTGGGTGTGGCCAACTCAATATCACTCACATCGAGGCACACATCTCCTCGCCTAGCCTCTCATGACAGTGGGGATGCTGCAATAGTTGTAAGTGTGAAAAATGGTCATAAGTCATTTTTTTTCAGTGCCACTGTAACTTAGAATGGTCACTCCACACAAGCAAAGTACCAGCAAAGGAGGGGAAGAAAACTCCAGAGACGTTCCTGAGACAGGAAGTCTAGTCCTGCCAAGAATGTAATAAGGGTTAACGGAGAGGCAGTTTCTGTAAGCAACACCAGAATGTTTCCTTCCTGCCTTCCTTACAGGATTAGGCCAGTAATTTCTTCTAAAAACCAGTTCTCC